AACGATCGTTTACCGTTCTGGTAGACGTATTGTTGTGGGTTTATCCTACCTACACTAGTAGCTAGAGTTGCCGTGGGAATTACTAGACCACACCAAGAACCCCAAGCAAAAGTCGTTTCGCTTACTGTACAATTACAACAGCAGAAATTGATTGACAGTGGATCAGTTCTTGTTTACTGACGCTTGGTTCGTGTTGTGGGAGAGATCGAATAGTGCCCTCAAGCTATTAACAGCAAAATTTATGGCACTACTTTCGCTCAATGGTAGGCTCCGAGTTAACACAGCTGCGATTTTAGAGTCCTTCCTGAATCTCCGCGACAATGTTCGGGGATTTTAACTGGCCCGCCGGACACTTGAGCAAGGAATACGGCAGCGATGATGATTAGACGGGTAGTCTTCATTCCTAGAAAGACGAACATGTTGTTGGATTTCCTCAAAACGCCGGCGAAATTGCGCTCCACAAGTCGAAACGGAGAATGAACGGTTGAGCTGCAAACTGAGGGGATGCCGTAGGTTTACACGGTTAGTGTAAACCGCAGGGTTCGTACTATCGTAAATTTGAGCAGCGTAGAATTGGGATGTAGTTTTTATATCGTAGCTTTGTGATCTCTCAGCCGCCATATAAAGTGGTATTGTGCTTCGGGACGACTTCTGAATACTTCTAAACTCTTTTAGAAAACGTCTAAAATCCATGCAGAATGCAAAACTGTCCAAAACTACCAAGGAAAATATTCTATTGGGTAGTTTTTCAGAGCAGGAGCACAATGCCGCATGCCACCCGGATGAAGCATTGGATAACGTGCCCCAAGGTGCCGTCTAGCCACGACAGGGAACCGTCACGGTCTCCGACTACGACACGATGAACTATTACTACCCACCGTGTCCGCCAGCGTTTTCAGCGCCAAAAGGGGCTACATCTTCGTGAACGATGTGGTGTTCCCACTGTGTCGAACACCAAGTCCATGAACGCACTGCTACTCGACACCATGAGCTTCGTCGGCATGATGGTCACGGACCCCGCCAAGATTAATGGAAGCCTGTAGGCGTCAGCATGTCACGTGGTGAAGATGAAGCTCACGCTAGGGGTGTACGAGACGCCCACGCCCAGTGAGGAAAACACGGCCTTCATCAGCAACGATCACGAAAAAAAAACCACGGCGCCGGAGCTTGATCACGAGTCCATCGTGCTGCTGCATATGGACAGGGTTTGCGGAGATGATCCGTGTGCTAGGAACGAGCGCAAGCTCCTGTCGCACGAGGGTAGCGTGCTGGACAAGCTGCGATTGAAGAGCACTGCTTGATGCTGTAATAGGGAGTGAAGGTTAACCAGGCGACGGTGTAGACGCATCTGGCCAGCCTGCAGAAGGCGAACAGGTCTACGTGGCTGCTGTCTGGGCTTCGGACGCCCGGGCATCATAAAGATGCAGGCGGGCAAGCTGGCCGAGGTGGCGGAGTTCTTCTTGTTCGGCACGAACGACCTGACGTAAATGACGTTCGGCATCTCGCTCGACGACGCGCAGGCCAAGTTTTTGTCGTACTACGTGAAGAGCGGTGTGCTGGAGAAGGACATGTTCATGACGCTGGACATTGAGGGCGTGGGCGAGCTGGTGCAACTACTATTGACGCACACGAAGAAAACGGTGGTGGGTTCATGACTAGGATGCCAGTACTGTTGTCTGTCGTCCACGGTTGTTGAATGGAACATGAACCACAAGTTTATTATTTAATTGTCGTTGATACTCTCTGGGAACGATTGATGGCGCGCCAGATCCACTTCATCCTTCTTTATCGTGCCGTAATTAATGTAGATATAAGCAAGCATCTCAACTTTTGAAAAGAGAGTCTGTTCCTCCTCTTTGAGTGGATGTGATCAAAAATACTCCAGGCTCTTTCGCTGCCTGCCGACGAAGTGAGAATAACAAACACAAATTCAGCAATTCTCGTCAGCAGCGGATAGTCCTGCCTTCTCTTACTGCCCCAGTAGTCACGTGGACTTGACTGAGAATATTGATTCCGTAAGGATGCACCACCGCGCTGCTTCCAACTTTTGAATGTTAGAATTTCTGCAGTCCGTTTAGCGTCCTTGGACGTCGTTGTTAGACCACATCGCTTCGCCATTTGAAGTATTTGGCTATCAACTTCATCATTGCTTTGCCAACAAAGTCATCTAGATTTGTCGATGGGTCGATCATGAATGCAATGGACATTGAATTTGTGTGGACGTACTTCCAGCGGTTCTTAATTTTCTCTCGAGCGAAGCTTTGAAGCTCTGTAGTTTCAATTGCATTAAGCATCTCTTAAACACTCCCCGACTGCAATCTCTCGTCGGCCGGCGTTGTACTTTCGATGTCAGCTTCATCTGCTTCAGCCTCAGCAGTGTTACTAAGCAATTCGAGGTTCTGTGCGGCCGATCCTCCCTCTGCATTTGGATTACTATTCTCATCTTCTTCGACTGTATTTACCTCTTCGTCGGGTGAGGTGACACCGAACGCCGCATGATATCGTAGCCACCGAAACCATTTATAGACTTCCGATACAAATATATTGTCTGCTTCCAGGTTCTTCAATGCTTTAGTAATTGGATCAAGCAACGCACAATGAGCGCTAAATTAACCCAGAACTTATCGTCACGAACCAGTGCGATCAAGTAATCTAGTTTTTTTCTTGCGTTGCGCTGTTCCACGATACCTATCTCGAAATTCATCGTACTCCGAACTCACAAATAGCTTTTCAAGTATCTCCCGATTATCCATCACATTCACCAAGCAATTAAACACTGAGTACCAGCGTGTCAAGACAGGTAGCACCAGATTTCGTGCTCCGACACCAATTCGCCGGACCTGTTCTTGTAGCCGCTTGAATTCATCCAGTAGCGCCAGGTGATCATGGACAAATCGAGTAAGATCATGAGCTGATTGAGCATATGAGCCGAGTATCCACCACTGACCACGTTCCGTGGAGATTGTTTACGATGTGTAGCACTTCTCATGTTTTTCGCGTTATCAGTTACAACAGCAACCACCTTTGCTGTCGTTTGACTTTCAATGTCCTCAATAACTTTTTCAATTTCTTGCGCCATGTAGTTTGCCGTATGTTGCTTTAATTTTGTTGACCACGGCGACCAAAACACCGCCGGCATTGCTGGAGCAACAACCATGAAATTAATAATACTTGAGCTGTTGGTATTACTCCATCCGTCCATGACGAGAGACACATACACCTATTCATTGATCAGCTTGATCACGTGGCTGTGGTGAATTTGACCTCGCACTCGCTTCAAAAGCACGTTGCTAAGCTAGTGTCTTGACGGTAGCTTTAACGACGGTACCACCATGGCCATAAAGTCCTTGAACACCTTTGCCTCCACAAGAATAAATGGTAGCGCGCACACAAAAAAGACTCTGGCTAGCGCCATCTCAAAGTCGTCTTGGCTGACAGCTTGCGGTTAAGGCTGTTCGACCGTGCTTTGTGCTGCCGTGGTACGAGCAGGATCTGGAGTGAGCTTTGTTCGCAGCACTGGCTTCACTTTTTGACGTCCAAAAGTCACTTCCGAAGTGTTTTGAATTTTTAGGTCGGTCTAAACGTTCTTTATTCGTCCAAATCAAAACCACCCCTAATTGTGCTTGTATTAAGCTCAATTTGTTTTGCGGTTTAACAGTGCAAGAATAGGCTGAAGAATAGCCACGCTTCAAGTAAAATGGTATACGTATAATCTTAGGCTGTTAAGGACAATCGTCAAGTCGCATCTGTAAAAGCCTTGCATGCATTGTGCTACACTGGTTACCATTGGGCAGAACTCCATCTCATCATATGCCTTGATTGCGGCGTGGGACAAACCTCGTATTAGTTCAGATTAGGATATGGAACAAAACACAATGCCCTTCGTGGTTGAATCAAACAAACGCAAATTTAATTTTGATTACATTACAGAACAAGGCGAGTTCAACAGGAAGTGGGCTTAGGCAGGAGAGAATGCACGTTTATTAATTAAAAAGAATACACCGCTGCAAAACAAATACTTTAAAAAAAAATAACTTTTGAATCACAGAAGACGAACAGGAGAGTTCTGGTTCCTAACCCAATGAAAATGTTCTCTTTCAGTCTAGTAGTTGACATCGTCTAGCTATTCGAGATGCTAGGTGACAAAAAAAAACGCTGGTTACACGGATGTAAATACTTACTTTCTTGAACATTAGTCTACACCGTCTAACTTAAACTGCTGGAGATAACGAACTCCTGATGCTTGAACTACGCAATGTTGTAGTCTGACTAATAGGAGAGGATTGTCAACCCTGGCTACATGCAGTCGGTGTTGGCACTCCTATCCTCATTCCACCTTTTGACGACAAGCGCACACATTTGCCACGAAAATAGGATGATGCCTCACCATGTGGCCATATCAGCGGTTACTCTGCTGTTCACTCAAATCGTCTCCGATTCCGTCAACAAAACTCAACTGAATTGGGAACCGTGTCCAGACTTCACGTTCGGCGATCCGAACGATCAGCACGCTGAGTGTGTGATCTACAACGCGCCACTATGTCACCCTGGTATCTGCCAAACGCCAGGTTGGGTGAATCCGACAATCGAAGTTTTCGTGAAGCGATTCCCAGCGACGACTGAGGACCCTGCCACAGCAGCGAACGTGTGGCTACTACAGGGAGGCCCCGGGTACTCTTCTACAGGATGTACGTAAAACTGTCTGGGTTTCTTTTTTTCTTTTTTCTAACTTAGGGGACTGTTTTTTTTAGTGGAACCAACGATAACGGAATTGCATATTCAGTTAAAAGGACAAGCAAACATTTACACGATTGATCATCGAGGCAGTGGCCGAAGCACACGGTTATTTTGTGCTGCTTCTGAGACAGCAGCTGCTCGTTCTGCTTCGGGTAGCCAGATGAACTCGTCAGAAGTTTCTGCGTGCGCAAAAGAATTGCAATCGCAGTATGGAGATTTATCTTCCTTTTCCATGACTAGTGCTGCTACAGACGTTGCCGCATTCATCTCCAAGTACACAAATGGTGAGAACACTACTATTTACGGCGGAAGCTACGGGACCGCCTTGGTGGAACGACTCATTCATTTGGACCCCTCAAGTGTGACAGGATATGTTCTCGACAGCGTTGCAACAAACTCCGGTGCTTCTGGAGATCGGTTCCCATATATATCGTTGTGGGATACAGATTTCGGGGAGGTTGGAGACGTTTTCCTCAATTTGTGCGATAAAGATGACAGCTGCAGTCGACATTTTAGCCCAAGAAATTTGTCGTCTACTCTACAACAGATCATCACTAGTTTTGACAAGGACCCCAACTCGACCTGTTCTCAAGTTTTGAGTTCGGCGGACGTTGGAACCGATATCCTGTACGGCGAGCCTCCGTCGTTCTCTCTTCGCCGCATTCTGGGGCTGCTAGTTGCCGACCCCAATCTTCGAACTCTCATCCCTCCCGTTATTTACAGACTTGACCAATGTGGATCTGAGGACGTCAAAATATTGAATCACCTTCTCACGAGTCTCAACGAATACGTCAACTACTCGGACCCAGACAACGCGTACAAGTCAATGCTGCTGTACTATCTTATCGTCTTCTCTGAAATGTGGGAAACACCAACGCGATCCAGCCAGATTATAGAAAAACGATTCGAGGACACCAAAATCTCCGACGGTGGATTTTATGAAGTGGGTGAGGGCGGGATTTACAAGTTAAACCCACTCTACTGTGCCTTCTCCAAAGAAAAATCTGCTACTTGTGACGAATTTCAGATTGAAAACTACGATTCAAACGCTATCATTTACGATCGCGACGACTACTGGAACACGAGCGCAACAATACCGAATTAAAGCGAGTGTTCTACTATTAAACGGCAAGTTGGACACGCAAACACCGCACAAGTATGCGGTGTCCCTGTTGGAAGTGTTGAAAGGTACGAAGAAAGAACTTATTTCTGTTGACTACGCTACACACGGGATTATTGCGTCTACTCCTCTCGTTGACGGCACAACTTGTGGAGTGAAGTTGCTTGCCTCGTTTGTGGAGAATTCTGGAGATCTTTCCAGTCTTGACAAAACATGCGTGTCCGAGGTACCGGCATTCAATTGGCAGATTCCTAAGGCGTATCTGTACAAATACTTGGCCACTGAAGAACCATACGATGGTGTTTACAACAAAAGTTTGGCCAACAAGAACTAAAGGAGAAATGTGAAGTATCGTAACGTTGTGGCAGAAGCAGTACAACTATCAAACGTGGAGATGGGTATCAGTAATAAGCTATTGTCAACAGGGATGGACTCTACATGTCGTTAATTATCTTCTTAAGTACTTACTACGTTGACGTAGTAGTAAATAATATGGTAATAGTATATTCACATTCAGAATCTAGATTTCTAAAGCACCAACGCCATGCGTTGCCCGGAAAGCTCTGGATATTACCGGCGCTTCCTTACAGCAACAGCATTTTCTCCATATCTTAAAAAGTTTCGAGCATTGTCCATTTCACGTGCTAGTAAGGTGCCCGTTCGTTCGGTGTTTATATGTTGTGTTTGCAATCAGTTATGAAAGGCTCTTTTACTATAAGCTAATGTAGCTGAAATGAAGTGCAGATAGCAATAGCTTCAGAAGAGCTCTCCTTGAAAATCTCGATTTCCCCATCTACCAATTGGGTTTACCAGACTCCTTGTCAGCAGAAACAGCTGTTTACTACAGTTTTCGTTGCTATAAAAAAAGTATTGGTAGCTAGAGCTTGATCAAGCAAAACACCAACCTAACTGGCATGAACAATACACTGTATTTGTTCCCTGTTCGGCCTGCGTGGTATCTTCGCCTTCATGCCGCCTTCATTGTGACGGGCATGGTCAAGTTCAAGTCATCAAGTAATCGGCTACACGTAAGGTTGCTTGAATGCTGTTCTTGTCCGACTGGGTCAACATTGACCCATTCAGAGATATGGTTTCGCATTCTATTACGTATCGCGACAACTATACGCATATTAATATCTATATCAGACCAGAGATACTGTGAAACTACGATACTTGCCTAAGTATCTTTTTCTACAGGTTTACCGAGGGTCTGCGATTCAGGTACGTACTCTGGGTTTTAGTATTCTGAGAATTAGTTATATAGTAGTTCACCAGTAGTTTGTATTAAAGATATGGATACACGTCAGGTACCGTTGTCGAGAACGACAGCAACAGATATACGGGTAGACAGATCTTTGGTCTAGTACGGCATCACTAGCTCCTACAAATGACCTAGATTTCATGACGAAATACACCAGTAACAAACAAACCATCCGAGCCTGTCACATCGCTTTGGAAATCATTACGAGCTCCGGTCGTAGCTCGGTATCGAAGCTTGGCTTGTTGGAGCACAAACATCTTGAAGACAAAATAAATTGCTGCGAACGTGTCTTCTACGTGAGACCAAGTAAATGTGTGCTCTCCTTCCGCTGCAGAAAGTACTTTGCCAGGAACTCGACAGTAATATCCGCTCGCAATCGGAGTTACTGGTTACTGCATGAGAAGTAGTTTCCACCTCGTCCCTAACTACAGACTACTCAAGTACTTTGAGCAGTATTTAAATGAACCCAGTAGATAGTAGGGCAGCAGGAGCGTTGGTACAACGGTCAATCCCTGATTGTGATGACTGTCGTTAGAGCAAGGTTGGTTTTTGCCGCGGCTTTATCGGCATAATCGGCAATATAATTCAACTATATTGTCCGGATAGAGCAGTCAGTCGCATCCATTATCCGGCTGGTGTGCCAATTAGTTACTTGTACTACCGTCACGGAATTTTAACTGCACCTGTTGTCGCTGCATTTCGTGATAGAGCTAGAAGGGCTGGGAAATGCGTGTCCAGCTAAACATGGAGGTCTGCGAAGGTGGCAATAAATGAAGCAACATCACAGCTTTGGCAAGAAGTGCTTCCATGTCAAATTGAAGCCAAAACCCCGTGGCCAGCTTCATTCATTTACAGTCACATTTGATTTGCATCACACTGTTGCGGCTTGCAGCACACGTAAATATACATAAAACATAACAATGATATGCAAGTTAAAGAGCATAACTCAAATTCTGATCTATGTATACGGGTAGATAAAAAAAAATCGCCGTTATGGGCTGATGAAGAGACTACTTTCAATGCGGTGTGTCTCACTATCAGGCAAAACAGTGTGGTGAAGACAGCTTCCAGACGGTGTATCTCCTTTCATCCCAAGAGCTCGTGTTGCAGCTGAATGTATGTACCTCGAAGCACCACCGATGCCCGGCGCTCTCGAATAGGAGTGATTCCAGGCACCGAATAACAGTTTCTGATTTTTTGTGCCTGTATAATTGTAAACGTTACAAAGCGGGGCATTTTGCTTATGGCGTTTTTTGCCAGGAAAATAAAGCAGAAGCCCTCACAAACCCAGCCCTGGTTAGAGCACCTTTCATTAAGAACTACGTCGCGACTTAATCTTACCGCACCTTTAACTCGTGATTAAGGATTAATCAGGCCTTTAATTTTAGCGCCTGAAATCGTTGACTATCCAGAGGAAACATGTGTGGACCACATGATCCTCATGTAGTCCACATATGATGGAAAAATGACCTCACAAGCTAAATGCGTTTCGAATCGTCTCTAGTCAGGGAGGAACCTGAACGAACAGGCTTAAGTGAAGTGACCAAGCGGCCTCTTTCCAAATCTTTTTAGCGCGACGAACAGCTCTTGCGCACGTTAGGCTATAAAAGTTTGGAATTGCACAGGCCCCGTGCTGAAGTAGAGCCGAAGTTACATGTAGCTCCCGTTTTGGATGAAAAAAATGAGGAAACAGCAACGATACTCCTATCCACCTTTATAGATTCAGTAACGGCCAGTCCTCTAACACTGTTCTTGGAGCTGCGATAATACTTGCCCGCTTATTTCTTAATTTTCAGATCACTTAGCTCCAACAATTTGACTGACTTTGATTTAGGCGGTTATTTTATTGAGTTACTTGCTGTTTACTGTACGTACAAGCACTGTAAAAGCTGCACTCAAACTACAGAGGCCATGTTTGTCGCAAGAAAGAGAAGGATGTAGTTTGTCGTGGTTTGACGTCGTTCCAAGGTGTCCGCCCCTGTCGTGATGACCTGTCCAGCTCATGCAGCCACTTGAGGAATCTGGGATACCGGCTGACCCGGGCAAGCACCATCGCTAACCAGCGTGATGTTGCGCTCTGGGTTGTTGCAGCTGGCAAAACTCAAGTCACACGTGTTCGGGTAGGTAACTCCGTCGGAGCCGCAGACCGGAGGGTCATCTTCCGGGCACACCACGTCGTTGCAGCAGTTCGTCTTAGTGCCAGGTGTCTGCGCACACATTAGCTTTCTGGACAAGATCGCCGGAGAATCGGCAGCCGTCGACGAGATCGTGACGGCCAGGAGCGCGAGATAGAAGGCAATCTTCATCTTGGGAGAGTTGGATGGGTTGTCGTAGCTGGGTAGCAAATTGAAGAGTGAGCTTCAAGCAGCTACGCTGTGTCCAATTGCCTTTGCTTCTACCAATGATTACATGCGCTTGCCCGCAAACGGTCGTTAGATTAGTTCACGCGTTAATCAGGAATAATCAAATTGAAAAGAACTGCCAAGAACTTGGAAAGGACATCACGTAGAGAATTTTTCGTAAAAGGACAGAATTGTACACTTAATAAATTGACTGTCAGTTCAAAAGAAATAAGTGACATTTTTCATTGCGCATGCAATGTAGAATGTTAATAATGTTTTGCATTAGTACCAATAATAAAGCGAAGATCGAGGTCAGTTCATCTTGTTTTACAGTGAACACAATGGGTGGACTCGTGCAGTGTGTTTTGCAGTAAATGCAATGGGAGAACACGTGTAGACTGTTCTACCCATGCCATTACTGCAAAGCAAGGTCAATTACCCTCGATCTTCTCTTTATTATCGATACTAGTCAATAGTACACGGTAGAGTGTTCTCTCACTGAAAAGCGACCTCAATCTTCTCTTTACTGTGGACACTAATCATTAGTACACTGTAGAGGGAACCACTATTTAGGCTTTCACATCAAACAAGTGACTTTAGAGTCGATATTACTTGCCCATACTACTTGCGCTACTACCGCGGACACATCACCATAGGGGATGTTCTCTGTAGACGAGGATGCAGCTGGCGCAGCATTGAGTGTAGTTAGCCGTCGAAACCGCAACAAATCTGAATTCAAATATTTGCTCATAATAGTACCGGTACTAAATAATCACTGAGTATCAAACAGCTGCCTGCACAACACAATGTATTCGTTTCTATTGTTTTCTTTCCACCGTTATTTTCTCAATGGCGCCCATTGAATGAGCAGGTTCAATTAATCAGGAACCGGATTCTTGAAAGCGAATGCTAGATATCGACTCTATCAGTGATAATATCACTACCGGGAGGATCATCTGTTAACTAAAAGTCAAGTATAATTTGGTATAGTCATTCATTTCTCTGGCTTTTTACGTGAACTGCTTGTGTCGGTCCTCTGAAGGGTGGGTGGATTTTACATAAACATTCTGGATGTATGCCACTTCATTCTCGGGGATTTGACAAGAGTTGAATAAGAGATGCATTCAAACTTAATTGACAACATTAGCAATATCTCCGACAGTATTAATGCCAGTAAGACGTTCCGTGGGATCGACCAGTACAGTAATTTGCCCTGGCAAGAGCAATCTATAGAAATTGAAAACCGTGACAGAAACAATAGTGAAGTATTAGCTGCTCTACACCAGACAATGAAACAACGTTCTGAGCGTTTGTACTCGAGTCGATAAGATCTTATTATGTTGCTGGCTTTGTTACAAAATGCATACAGAAAGGTGGGGTCGATTCTGCAAAGACATCGAAGCTGAGTTCATGAGCTACAAATAGAAACCGTGGTCATTTGGGATGTCAGGAACTGCAGACAACGAGAAGACCGTTGTCAGGGGGTCCTACCGACAATGTACTGCTTGCTCACATTTTGCCAGTGATAAATGTTGTCTAACGGGCGGGTTGCTAATTCAGTGTCTTGATTTGTTCTGCAGAAGCCTGAATTTCATTATACTGTGCTACATGGCTGAGGGGAGTACACTGCAATACTTCTTTTCGAAATATTTTATTGCTGCTGACACAAGCGGAGTGCATTGCAGAATTTGTTCGTCAAGACAAGTAGGGAGGCTATACTCATACTGGCGAGCACTGCTTTATTAAATTCTTCATTCGGTAATCTCGGTCACCATCAGGTTAAACTGATCTTTGACAAAGATTCGTTGTCACTTAAGATTGAATCTACAATACTCTTGTCACATTCCCCTACTTCTGGCCCACCTCAAAATGGTTTCGGTTTTTGGCCGATAAATTGGAAACAAAGCTCGCTGGCAGACGCAGAGCACACCACATCCTCCTCCCCCCAAATCACGTCAGGAATTTGGGCTTGATTGGTCCTGGGTGTAATCCTCAGGCATAGATTCGTGTCGCCGATCGAGTCGCTTTCACCCATTCGCATAGAATGGATGATTTACAAATGCCAAGTAAATTATATGTGTCAATCTCGCTCTTGAATCATGATTACGAGTATTTGGCACTTGCGTGCGTTGCAACCAATCCGAGCTAAGTAGCATGAAGCAAAACAAAGGAAACCCCGCAGCTAGTACTTCATTCTCTAATTTCCTCGAAGCTACTACATTCCATCCAACTCTCCCAAGATGAAGATTGCCTTCTATCTCGCGCTCCTGGCCGTCACGATCTCGTCGACGGCTGCCGATTCTCCGGCGATCTTGTCCAGAAAGCTAATGTGTGCGCAGACACCTGGCACTAAGACGAATTGCTGCAACGACGTGGTGTGCCCGGAAGATGACCCTCCGGTCTGCGGCTCCGACGGAGTTACCTACCCGAACACGTGTGACTTGAGTTTTGCCAGCTGCAACAACCCAGAGCGCAACATCACGCTGGTTAGCGATGGTGCTTGCCCGGGTCAGCCGGTATCCCAGATTCCTCAAGTGGCTGCATGAGTTGGACAGGTCGTCACGACAGGGGCGGACACCTTGGAACGACGTTAAATCCCGACCAAACCTACATCCTTTTCTTCTTTGCAAATAGCATGGACTCGACAATTTGAGTGCAGCTTTTACAGTGCATGTACACAGCTACTGTAGTAACTCAATAAGAAAGCCGCATAACTCCAAGCGTCCGTTAATGTGCTAGGTGATCATCAACAGTTTGTAATCCTTTTCAACACTCGTGCAATGCTCTGCATGTATATCTTGGCAAATTATTGAACCTTTTGACTTTGTCATGAGGTAACGAAGCCAACTAAATTTGTCATTGCTAACACTCATTACAACTACTAGTACTGATACTTGCTATTGTGAGTGTTGTACTACAAGATACTAGTTATAGATTATTTATGCCCAAGCGTTCATTCTGTACAGGCGAAAATTAACTGGATGCTCTGTTCGTTGATTTAGTTACCTCTCGGGCCGTTATAACCGGATGCTCTGTTATAAGTATCCAACCAATGTTATCTTAGTTGAGGTCTTATTTTTATGTTATAATTTATGTTGTGTTGCCCTATGGAAAATTATTTACGACTTTAGAGTCAATCAACCAAATTCACATTTCGACGCGTTATTATTTCCTACGATTATCGAGTCTTACCGGCATTTGATGGTATGAATAAGGATAGCAGTGATTACACGAGCGATAGCTCACGGCAAGATCAATTCGGTCTGCATAAAATCCACATCGGCCCTATAATGCAAGGCAAGGCAAGGCCCACGTCATGGGTTGAGTGTTTCATAGCGCTGGCATTGCTGACAATTTGCCATCCTCGCGTTCATACTAAGTACGCATTATTGAAGGCGCATTTTGTCGATGTCTACAGCAATTGCCATAAAATCGACTTAAAGTTTCTCTAAACTTGTCTCTAAATATAAGTTGTGCTGAGATATGTGTGAGAGGTTTCCCGATGTATCAGGCCAGTTGCTATAAGAGGGTCTTCTTTACGTAAATCAAGATAATATTGATGGAGTTGCAGAATGAGAATGTGAAGCGACTCTTCGTTTACTCAGTAAATATAAGTTTTTTTTTTTTAAATTATTTTCAAGAAGCGATTTACACTTTATCTGGTAGGCACCCACCGGCGAACATGTAACATCGTAAAAGGATAGGAAAACTCTAAAACATTATAAACTTCGAAAATGAGCTGTGACCCGCCACGCCTTTTTTGCCCATACCAAATGGAAGCTTAGCTATTCCTGTAAATTTGAAATTTACCACGGCTACTAATGCAAACTTACACTTCCGTTCAAACCCAAGTCAAACATCCTCGACGAAGCGCATTGAAGTTAGATTCGCGGCTCCCTCGTGAGTAGCAGCCATCTAGCAGTGGATGCCGTAACGGTGCCTCGTCCTGGCTGCGGAGGACACCCCTATCACGATATCTGGTGCGAGTTTCGGCAATTGGATCCTGACTCTGCTATTGCTCAAGAGAACGTTGCCTGCAATATTCTACAAGCCACAG